GCTGCTACAGTTGGGAGCAACTGGTCTTCCTGCTTCCATTCTCGTCTCTACGCAATTGTTAGAGTGAACTCTGAAAACCATAAATCACTTCATGTTCCTACCCCGATGAAGAGCTTCCAAATGGTTTTCCATTGCACTTTGAATGAAATATGAATTCCTTATGCTAGTCTGTGCAGTTCCCCAACAACCTCTCCCCTTCCTATGTTTCCAGCCTCCTTTCCTCCACGCCTCTCATAAGTCAAAATGCCATCAGTCACCAGACTTACCTCATATTTCTGTCTTCGGGACTTCTCTCTCGTACCTGCCTCAGGGTGTGTACCTGCTGTTGCAAAGCCCTGAGTGCTCCCTCCCAGACCTTCACAGGTTGCACTGGTCATGTGGATTCCAGCTTAAACATCACCTCCTCCGGGAAGCCTTCCCCACCACCTTCCTTCCCCAAGTAATTTTCTGTATCAACACCTTGTTTAACTATCTCCAAAGCATTTTATCCCTAGTATTTTCTGGTATATGCATAGATGAACTAGCCAGCAGCTCTTTTCTCCCTCTGAGATATAAACTCCATGAGATCAGGGTCCTTGCCTATCTTGTTTACTGAGATTCACTGGGGGCACAGTATCAAATATTTTTTATTGACTAGATGACTGTAATCAACTCCCAGTGAGCTAATCACATAGAAGGGATTATGTTGGGTGCAAGACAGTATTTGATATCTGACGTATCACTGAATCTGAGCACTGACGTTTTGTTGTAAACATCTTTGTCACTTCCTAAAAAGGAGGAAACGGAGGCTTGAGGAGATCCAGTACTTCCCCCAAAGTTAATGAATTTGACTCCACCAACATTTACTGAGCTTTAAAACACGCCAGGCACAGTGCGTGACACCAGGGATACAGACGTGGAAAAAGCATGGCTTTAGCTGTCTAACTGCTCACCGTCTGGAGTGGGAGACAGAGTACAAATCGCTAACTGTACTACAATGTGATGTGGGAATAAACTGTGACAAGCCTTATTCCAGAGGTGGGAACAAAACATCAGGAGAGAGAGAATTATGTGGCAAATTTAGCTGGATGGATGGATGAAGATTTTGAAAAGCTTTACAGAGTAGATGGCATTTGAGCGAGGCCCGCCAAGATGAATAGGCTTCTGCCAGGTGCAGAAAGGGTGATAAGAGCTTTCCAGACAGAGAGAAGAGGGGCTAGGGAACAGAGGGGCTTGAGAGAGCGCACATCCTGGCTGGCTGGCTGTTTGAGAGCCGACTAGACTTCTCAGCATTAAAGTGAATCTGGCGTAAGAACTGAATGAGTGGACTTTCATTTTTTTTCTGAGTTAATGAATTTCTGATCTAGTGCCAAGACTCAATAAGAGTGTGCTTTGTCTAAAAATTTTACTTCCAAAGCTTTATGTGGATTTTCCTCGTCTATTTGAGTGAACTATGGTTGTACCACGTAGAAATGGGGATGGAGCATGGTAAACTCACAGAAGCCCTGGTTGGCTTGTTCTGCAGGCTTGGTACAGGGTGATGGGCTGCAGTTAGGAGAAGGCTCTCTTACCCTCTGCCAACATGACTACGTAGTGTGAAATCCTTGAACTAGAAAATTCTTTGCCTTGGATTCAACCAGCGTAACCCTGACTCTAACCCTTCCCAGTTGGAACACAAATATAATTGGGAAGAGAAACCCATAAGACTTACTGGACATTACCATTGTCGTGAGATGTCCGTCTGTGCCAGCCAGTGTCCGTAGGGAACCCAAGGGACAGCTGTAGGGGAAGGATGGGAATGCTGGGTACTGGACATATGCCTGGGACAGAGCCAGGTGCTCTGATGTGTTTTGCATTTTAATTTTCTCAACACTCTTCTCTTAAGTTGACAGACTGACCTGCTGAGGCACATAGAGGCAGGGTGGTGTGACTGAGGTCACCTGCTAACAGTAGTAAAACTGGAATTCAAAACCAGTTCTGCTTCTAAAGCTACATCACCTCTCTACAGCTGCCTCTTGCCGGACGGTCACACAGAGATGGGGTGGTACTGAGCATGGTAGGAAAAAATCAAAGTTCACTGTGTTCGCAGCCACACTTGGGGCTGGTCCTGAAAAGAATCCCTGCCTCTGAAACCAGCTCTTGTCTTGTTGCCCTTTCCTCTGTGCTGTATCATCTACTTATGGCACTTGGAGGGGCAGAAGCATCATCTGGAAAGGCTGATCAGATTCTTGGCCAGATAAGAATGTGCAGATGACTATTTCAGGTGGCCTGCATGCTTGCTTCCTGTGGCTTGGAGATCATCAGCAAGGCTTTTTTTTTTAATCAGATGACATATCACAGATGAGAACCACAGTGTGAAGGAAGGCAAACCGTGAGTCAGGCAAATGGTCTCAGGTACCGACTGGCTTGAGTCCGTTGTCCCCCATCCTTGGGGAGGCTGGTGTGATTCTTCACCAAGTTCCCTTCCTGCTCATACTCGGGGCCCTTGGAAGCAGCAAGCATAGCTCTTTGGATTCTGTCCCCCAGAAATGAGGACCACACTCCACAGGGGAGTGGCATCCTCTGATACGTTGTGAGCACTTTGACCTCCAGAGATCGAAGAGGATTGTACCTGTAGCCAAAAAAGGAAGCTGTTGTGGAGACTGTGAATAGGGGCACCACACCCCCCCCCCAGCAATGACACGCCCATCTCCCACTCCTTGTATTACAGGCCTGCAACAAAATACAAAAGGCTTTGATTTGCGGTTCTCCATTCTGCACCAGTCAGGCCTGCAGGGGGCAGCGGAGGTGGGAGGAGGAAGGCTTTGCATCCTGGGTCCGTGCAGGACACACCGTTCGGTGCCTTCTTCCTCAGAGCTGGAAGCTGGGTGTTCGTTCCTTCACTCCCTTATGCATCAAGCGTTTTCTTCAGTGACTATTATGTGCACCTTGAGCACATCTCTAAGTGCTGTAGATTCAGTGATGAAGGAGACAGTGTTGGCTCTTTCTCGTACTGATAGTAAAACCTTGCTTCCAGCATCAGGTTGACTGTCCTTGTGCATTTCGCTCTGGCCACACAAGCCTCCTTTTTGTTTTTTGAAAACCCCTTAAGCCATTGCCTGGGACTTTCTTCCTTCCTCATCCTGAAAGTCAAATGTCACCTCCTAAGAGAGGTCTTCCCCACTCAGGCTGAAGTTACTCTCTCTCCCTCCTGGCCACACACCTGCTCTGGTCATTCTGTAACCAGCATATCCACTTCGTTTATTGCAATCTTAGCATTTAACACTACCTGATTTATCTTTTTCATTTATTAGTTACTCGTTCTTTGCCTGTTTTCAAAACCTCTAGAATGTTAGCTTCTTGCAAATGGGACCTTGTCTGTTCTACTCCCAGCACATAGCTTAGTGATCATTCAGTAAATACTTGCAAATGAATGAATGACACCTTAACTGCCTTTGTGTTTACAGTCTGGAGCGGCTGCACAGCATCAGAATGTAGGCCCAGGAATCAGACAGCTCAGGGCTAATGACCCAAAGTCTCAGAACTTAAGATTCTTCCATCTTTAAAAAGGTGGGGGAGGGGATAGCTCAGTGGTAGAGTGCGGTGCCTAGCATGCACGAGGTCCTGGGTTCAATCCCCAGTACCTCCTATAAAGAAACAAATAAAGCTAATTATCACCCCCACCCCTGTCCAAAGATCTCTCCGCCTCAAACAAAAAGGAGATAATAACAGCACTTACTTCACACAGCTGATGTGGGGATACAGTGAGACAGTTCATCTAAAGTGTTTGGCACTGGGTTTGCAGCATAGTCAGTGATCATAAGTGTTGCGTTTTATTACTGTGGGGAGCAAATCTAATGAGAACACAATCAAATGTAAAGAAGGCAATAAAATGTGAGACATGGGGTGAGAGGGGAGGTAGAGAGCAGGCTGCTTCAGTGACATTGAGGGGGAGACCTGTTTCAGGCAGACTTCCTTGAGGAGCCACGTCCATCCAGTTATGCCCACGACCAAAATCAACAACCCATTTTGGAAGAGAGATGTTAGTGGTGAGGGTTCTCACTGGCATCCTAGTACTCGAAGGATCACACCTAAGCTCTCCTCCACGCACCTACAGCCCGAGAACCGGGCTCTTCATTTCAGTGGAGGCAGCAGCCCCAAAGCAGTGAGAACGCTGGGGCTAGGGGTGCCGATGAGCGACTTCATAATGTGGTGTGGCTGAGATCACTTTCTCTCATTTGGAGCCTGAGTCACGTATTGGAAGAAACATCCTAGCCCTTTATCTGCTGTCAGTTCAGATTTCATGCTTCCTCCGGTGTGCTCTATCTAAATTAAATCTCCACTCCACTGGGGAGCCTTCTGGCTTTCAGCTTCTATTTTTGAAACAGTCGTCAAGACTTGGATTTCCAGAAAAAGGGGGCTCCCGGGCTCCTGCTGTGATCTGGGCTCCCCCAGGCTCTGCCTGCTCTGCAGACTCAGCCAGACCACAGTGGATCTGAGGGTTCATTTCTTCCTGCCACTGGGAAATTGTTCAGCCGGTGACACCAGTGGTATCTTAAAGCCAAGCCCTCGTCCACCAGCAATTCCAGGACCTCTGCCACAGGCTCTGAAGCCAGAGTTAGAGTTCCAAGGACAGTGTTGAGGTTCCGCCTTCCCTGGCTCTCTTTTGGAGGAGTAAGTAGATTTCCACAATGACCCATAATAGCTGCTAGAGATCTCGGGGTGGTGGGTAGTGGATATGGGAGCTCAGATGTATGTGGTGGACTGAGATGTTGCCAAAGGCCAGCTGTTAATAGTCCTGCATCCTGTTGCTATTTTCAGTAACATGTGCACAGAACTGGGGTGGGATGGAGGGTAACTGATGGTGCTTTTTGACTGACTATAGTTACTAGTCAGTGGAAGTTGCCCAGTGTGTTTTACAATTTCTGGGTTCGTTGTGTTGCCCATGTCATACCTTTAGTTTGATTTTTCTTTTTGCTGCAGAACACTCTTTAGTAGTTTATACAGAGAGAGAATGTGGCTGGTAAAAAAAAAACTATTAGTTTTGTATATTTAAAGTCTGTATAAGCGAAACAAAAAGACAACCTACAGAATGGGAGAAAATATTTGCAAATGATGCAGCTGACAAGGGCTTAATTTCCAGAATATATAAACAGCTCATACAACTCAGTAACAAAAAACAAACAACATAATCCAAAAATGGGCAGGAGACCTAAACAAGTAGTTCTCCAATGAAGACATACAAATGGCCAATAGGCATGTGAAAAAATGTTCAATATCGCTAATTACCAGAGAAATGAAAATCAAAACTATAATAAGGTATTAACTCACCAATAAGAATGGCCATCGTTAAAAAGTCCACAAATGATAAATGCTGGAGAGGGTGTGGAGAAAAGGGATCCCTCCTACACTGCTGTTGGTAATGTAGTTTGGTGCAGCCATTATGGAAAACAGTCTGGAGATTCCTTAAAAAGCTAAAAATAAACTTAGCCTATGATCCAGCAATCCCACTCACCGGCATATACCTGGAGGAAACTCTAACTCAAAAAGATACATGAACCCCAATGTTCATAGCAGCACTATTTACAATAGCCAAGACATGGAAGCAACCTAAATGTCCATCAACAGATGACTGGATAAAGAAGTTATGATATATATACACAATGGAATACTACTCAGTCATAAAAAAGAATAAAATAATGCCATTTGCAGCAACATGGATGGACCTGGAGGTTGTCATACTAAGTGAAGTAAGCCAGAAAGAGAGAAAAATACCATATGACATCACTTATATGTGGAATCTGAAAAAAATGACACAAATGAACTTATTTACAAAACAGAAACAGACTCACAGACATAGAAAACAAATTTATTACTAAGGGGGAGAGGTGGGCGGTGGAGGGATAAATTAGGAGTTTGGGATTAGCAGATACTAACTACTACCTATAAAATAGATAAAGAACAAGGTTCTACTGTACAGCACAGGGAAGATATTCAATATCTTGTAATGGCCTATAATAAAAAAGAATATGAAAAGAAATCTATATGTATATGTGAAACACTATGCTGTACACTAGAAATTAACAATACACTGTAAACTGACTATACTTCAATACATTTTTTTAAAAAGTATTTATTTTGCCCTTAATCTTTAATGATCACTTCACAGCATATATAGTTTTTATTATATTTTCTTTCAGCACTTTGAATACTGTTCTGTTGTCTTCTGGCATCTATTGTTGCTGCTGAAAAAATTGAGCCTTGATTATATTCTGGAGACAAAGGGGAGCCTTTAGAGGGAATTGGGCTCAGATGTAATCTGATGAGTCTGCTTTTAGGAAATTGGTCTGGGCACAGTGTGCAAGATAGTTATATTAATTTTAATTGCAGAGTTGTAGACAACAGTGTATTGAATGAAAAACCATAACATACAAACATTTTATTTACAAAACCATAACTCTGACATTATATTATGGTAGAAGAATATATTAAGATACTAACAGATTTTCTTCTCTCCCTGAATTTCCTTCTGTCTCTTGTATTTAAACAATTAGTTGGTTCTGTGCTCCTTGCCATAGGGAAGCGGATGGGGTAGAAATATATAAGTGTGGGAATCTTCTTGACTTTTTTTTGGAAAAGTTTTAACTCCAAGGAACAGGGAAAGGATTCTGAAGAACAGATAAAAGTTCCTGGCCAGAAACTGAAGAGAGGTGTGATGTCTCAAAGACTAGAAAAGATAAATCTCTGTCCTGCCCCCGGGTGGGCAGAGAGGGTGAGAGGTGGTGAGAACAGAGAGAATGTGAACCCCGCTTTCCAATCAGAGCCCACAGTCAGAGCCCCGCAGAGGCAGCCAGGCTCCCGGATGCTTGGCACCAGGAAGATGTGGTCCTCGGCAGCCCCGCAAAGGCTGGGACCTCATGTCACTGCAGCATCAGTGGGACCTCAGCTGCACCCAATGTGAGCAGACAATACAGTCAGCAGAGGGAACCCTGCCCTACAACAACCAGGCGCTGGGGCAGATTCCAGGGTTGAGGCTGGGTAGGAAACCTACACTTTTCCTGTGTGTCTGCTGTTCTCTCGCACTACCACCTCACTCACGACACTGCTGACACCAGATGTGCGTCTATTTCCACCCCCACTGCCCCCTATATCAAGCAGTTTCTCCGATACCAGCTGGGTGTCCTACAATTTAACTGCCTTCTATAGACATAGCGTCAGGTCCTGCAGGTTAAGGGTTCAGTCCCAGGATACTGCCTTCCATCCGCTCAGAAGCCAATCGCAAGCAGTCAGTCCCCAGGTCACCCACGACTGTTGTCCAACTTGGCTACCAATCAGAAGTCCCCACGACTTCCTCCCATTGGATCTGAATATTGTTTGAGCTGCTCACAGAACTCAGGGAAATATTTACGTTTAGCTGTTTATTAGATAATAAAGGATACGATAAAGGATATAAATGAACATCCAGATGAAGAGGTCCAGGGGGTGAGGTCTGGGAGGGTCCAGAGCACAGGAGCTTCCTACCCTGTGGAGCTGGAGTCGGGGTGTGTCACCCTTCCAGTACGTGGTGTGGATGTGTTCACAAGTCTGGAAGCTCTCCGAACTCCATACTTTGGGACACAGACATGATCAATTACTAATTTCATTTCCAGCCTCTCTTCCCTCTCTGAGGAATGAAGGGGTAGGGCTGAAAATTCCAAGCTTCTAATCATGGCTTGGTCTTCCTGGTGACCAGCCCCCATCCAGGAGCGCCTCCCCACCCTAGTCACCTCATTGGAACAAAAGACACCGCTATCACTTAGGAAGTTCCAAGGGATTTAGAAACTCTGTGTCAGAAACCAGGGTCAAAGACCAAATGTGAGGGCAACAGATGCTCCTAGTTCTCTTCACATGCCTATTGGCCATTCGTATGTCTTCTCTGAAGAATTGCTTGTTTAGGTCTTCTGTGCATTTTTGGACTGGGTTGTTTGTTTTTTTTTCTTATTAAGTTGTATGAGCTGCTTATATCTTCTGGAGATTAGGCCCTTGTCAGTCTCATCTTTTGCAATTATTCTCTCCCATTCTGTAGGTTGTCTTTTTGTTTTGCTTGTGGTTTCCTTTGCTGTGCAAAAGCTGATAGGTTTAATCAGGTCCCATTTGTTTATTTTTGCTTTTATTGCTATTGCTTGGGTGGATTGCCCTAGGAGAAGCTCCAGTGCTCTTATCAAGTAGGAAATTATGAGTTTTAGGAGCGCTATGCCAGGACCGGGGACAGAGACCAACACGTATTTTTTTCAATTGTCTCATTGTGGTGGTGTGTCTCAAGGGGAGGGTCGAGAAGTAGAGCTTCCACTATCCCAGGAGAAGGAGGATTGAAAATAGACACTAAGCTGACTTATAAAAAAGAAAGGTATAATTTTTGGCCCTAGGGCAAAGGGACTGAGATTCATGCCTGCTACAAGGTTAATTTAGCTATAGGAACAAATATTAGTTTACGTGGCTATTTGAGTATCTGAGAGAGGCAGCTTTCTATAATTGTCCATTTGCAAATCTGGGTGGGGAGTTTAGACCCTTGACCCCAGGCTGGTGGAAAGAGTCCTGGGCTTTGAGGAGAAGCCCTACCTTACTGTCCCTACACTGCCTCCACCAGCCCTGTGACTTTGGACTAAGGTTGCCATGTAAATGCAGGACACTCAGTTAAATATGAATTTTAGACAACAAATAATGCTTGGTACATACTAATACTAAAACATTATTTGTTATTATCTGGAATCCAAACTTACCTGAGTATCCTGTGTGTTTTTCCCCTTAGTCTGGCAAACGTCCTTTGGGCAGGTCATGTAACCTCTTGGACATCTTTAGTCTGAAAGACAAGAGTGATGTCTACTTCAGAGTTCTGCTTAGGATCAAGTGGGATCATGGCAGTGGGGTGGGGAAAGATTTCCTCAACCCTTTTAGGATCCCTGGCTGAGTATGAAAATTAAGCCGAAAAAGACAGATTAACAAGAGAAAATCATACAAATTAATGTAAGTTTCATGTGACACTGGAGGCTTCATAAGGAGATGAAGACCTGAAGAAACAGTTAAACTGAGTATTTTCATGCTGGGTTTGATGAAGAGTGGACAGTCGGGGACAGTCCTAGTCAAGGACTAGGAGGTGGGTAGAGTAAACTGGGGAAGCTTAGCAAGACTTACCGGTTAGGACTCTTCTTGGCGTCCCTTAGTCTTTGGAGATAAGGATGCTTCTGTCTTCCAGGTCAAGGGAGGGCACGCCTCACGTGAGGGTTTTTATGACCAATTTCAGGGGGAAAAGATGGGGAGAAGGTCAAAGTGACTTTCTTGCTTCTTTGGTTTTCTCCTGCTGCTTCAGCTTAAAATACTTAATAGACCAAGTTGCCGTATTTGGGGGTGGTGTGTCCTGAACCCCATCATTACTAATGGTTGGAATGATTTAGAATCTGTAGTCCTATACACTCCTAGAATAGCTCTATAAAAGTTAAGTCTGTGTGGAGTAAGACAAATTCAAGTTTTAATTCTATTTAATAGATGGGTATTCTTGGATATCTATAAAATGGGCTAATAATAGTATCTACCTCATAGCATACTTAAGAGGCTTCAGTGAGTTAATCGATGCAAGGTGCTTGGCCCTGAGCGTGGTACATTATAAGTGCTCAATAAATAATACTTGGTTACCTCTGCAGCTGTGCAAATATGATGTCATATTATCAAAGTGAATCGAGGAGACTTGGAAATGAGTCCTTGAGCAGAGAATGACTTATTGAGTGCTGTCTCTGCTCTAAGTGCTGATGGGTACAATCTTTTCTTTCCTGTTAGTCTTCAGTAGGGGACAGAAATTGCCAAATTTAGAAGGGGGAGAAATTTACAAAAATTTTCTGAGCATGTTAAGAGAAAAAGATAACGGCTTTGTGAGCATGTTTGAAGAGTAAAAAATTTCCCTGAATCTCAGCCCATTGTGTAAACTCAGAAGAAACCAACAGCCAATGCCTACATTTCCCCCCAGGCAAAAACATCCCTCATATACAAACAGTGGATTCATCGCAGCTTTAGATGTATCACCAGCCGGAGGCTACAACTCTTCCTGTTTGAAAGAAACAGACCCAATCTGGGTCACAGTATTAGTGAAGGGTGAGCTGGCCCTGCTGGATTTCTTCAGATCCCTGAGTGCAGAGGGAGGGGGGAAAAGTTAATCAAACAGAGCCTGTCAGGGAGTTTCAGGTGGGGCTCTGATACCTTTTAATACAGGAAAACGTTAAGATGTGACCTCCTAGAAAGGTAGAAAGAGCAGCTAAGTATTAGTGGCAACAGAATCGGTTTTAAACAGTTTTTTGGAGCTTGTTTAAGAAATGTCAGTATTTGTTTCGCTGCATCTCATGTACTGTCAGTGGTGACTTTTCAGGGACCTCAGAGATTTAGTGGAAAAGTGAACTGACAAGCAAGGGACTGAAGCCATCAGACCCTGCAGCCATCAGATAAACGGAAAACCCAGCGGTGCCCCCAGTCCTTCTCCGTGGCTCCCGAGCCCACCTTGACTTGAGGTGCAGAGTTCTTATGACGCACTCTCTTTCAGTCTTTCTCTCTGGTGTTTTCTTTACCAAGCTTTTCTATCCTAAAGCTTTCACGATCCAATCTCTGTGTTGCTCCCTTGTAAAGTCACTTTTAACATTTGGTAGGTTTAATTGCTGAAATAAATGTGCTTTCTCCCCGAACTGATGTGCTGGGATGTGGAATGGAGTGGAAAAGTGAGTATCTGTTTATGGCACTTGAAGAGTGATAAACAGATTTACATCTATCAAGCTGCCTAGTCTGAACTGACATATAAGATGCCCCTGGGGAATGACTGATTTTTGGCTTTTTTTTTTCACTTGAAGTACTTGTCATTTCTTTTCATTTCATTTTTCTCCAGATGCAATCAAGACACATTGGTGAATATAAAATGCACAAGTCAAACATTTCTTTAAAAAGCAACTGCTTTGAAACTATAACCCCAGAAGTCAGATGCATTTTCTCACCGTATGAGAAACATTCACTAGTGCAGAAGCCTTATTATGTAAGCCAGTCTGCATTTACAGTGGTAAACAATTCCTTAATACTATCTGTCTGATAATGAAATAGTCTTACAGGTTGAAAAATAAGTTACGCTTTCTGTAAAAAGTATATATTTCCTTCCTTTCTTACTTATGGTTCCTGTAGCTCAAAATCCAGGGTTGTCTGCATAAATTAGTTGGGATTTTTCAGTGAACCTCTTCAGATGACCTGGTTGTT